AGGCAATTTCGCCTCTTAGAGCCTTCTCTGCCAAAACGGAAGAGTGTTCTCGTCTCGTTTGGTTGGGGAAGATCTTGCCACGCTCGACTAAGAGCTTGCCACAGTAGATGATCTGGACGAAGACAGGAGCTACGAGCCGGTAAATGCGCTTCTTGTGCTCTCTGTTGTCTTCGCGAAGTGTACAGGACCCTTCTTTCAGCTCCCGCAACAGGGAGATGAGCGGCTTGGTGCTATTCGTACCCCATGACGCCGTATCAACACCGAAGCCTTCTAAGAGATCGGCTAGGGCCTGCTCGCTGCTCGGGCATCTTAACTCGTGGTCTCTGGGCTGCCAGAAGATTGGCAACGACCAGCATGCCATGGGAATGAAACGGCTCAGGAGCCTAGAAGACTAAGCTACATATAAGAATTTGGCTTTAACTTCTTTAACCTTACGAGGACTGCAAACTTTATGCTTGGTCCGAGGCATGCTGCGAGGTCGAGGCATGAGGCCCCACTCTTGTGGGCCAGTCTGAAATTTGAAGCCCGAATGCTGCCCGCCGGACGTACCGTCCCTGGACTTCATGCGTCGAATTCCAAGCTAGTGAGCGATTCCTTGTTGACTGCGGAGCTTTGGGATACAAGGCTCTGCGGGCGGGGAAAGAAGGGGATGGTGTCTTGTGTGCAGATTCAGGGACACTCTGGGGTACTGCAGGGACAATCCGACCCGGGGATACTCTGGGGATACCCGGGGGTTGGATACGAGTCATGAGCGAGGAGAAGAGTTTAGTCTAAGAGCTAACAGCCTCACGCCAAGGGTGGGGAAAAAGAGAAGAAGTAAGTAAGCACGTGGAGAACGCTGAAACCATCTAAAGTCATCTGCTTCAACGGCCGAGCCGTCGAGCGTCCTTGGGTTTCAGCCAGCGGTCGCGCGCGAACAGGACCGACTCTAGCATGGACTCGTGCACCAAATAGAAGCCTCGGGGTGCGAAAGCTGTTTGAGGGTCCTTCCGCCTCTGTGCGGCTGAACAGGTTCTTATTGGGGTTGCCTTTTTCCGTGTCATTCATGCTTAGTCGTTCTGTTTCTAGTCTTGCAAAACCTTTTGGATCTCAGACGTTTTGAGGGTTGTTTTTGGCCGAAGAGTGTCTAGCTCTGCAGTATGGCTGCTAGTCATTCCAGAAGAAAGCGGGTATCGAACTGATTCTCTCCCGTAGTTCACATCATTCCTGCGATTGACCGTCGCACTAAGGCGGCCAAAAGACCTAACTAGACTCAGGGGAGGGGGCAAAGTGAAGGGCACGCAAACCTGCAAGAGGCAGGGGGCCCATCCACTCCGAGATGATCGTATCCTTGGCATGCGGGCATTCGGAGTTCCGGTTTGGGTACAAGTTGGACCCCTGTCAGGTAAAGAGGAAGAGGGATGCGGAGACTTGCACGCTTGGTTTCCCGTTCCTGCGGGCTTCATCTGAACAACTCCTAGGTCCTGGGTCGGCGTGTGCCCAGAACCCAACTGAACGATCTATGGCTGAAGGGCTGATGCATCACAGCTTTCAAGTCTCAAAGTCCTGCTGCATGCTACGCACTGACAAAACCACCCTCAACTTATGGGGTTGATCCGAACACGAACCAGACGGAGGCCTCTCAGGCGTGGTGGCACATGCAGCTTAACTGTCAGCAGCTGCACTGCCAAGCACGGTCGGTCAATTGCAAATTTCCGCTGCCGATTCCGAGGTATCATGGTACCTATTCTGAACTGCTGAGTCAACTGGGATCCTCTAGAATCTAGAATGGTCCATTGTGGAGCAGCAAACCCAATAGCGTGAAAGTGCGTGTTTTTTTGACCTGACAACCCATAAACCCTGCCTTGCTGTTTTGGGCGTTTGAACACTGAGAAGTCCTTTCTTCAAGGGGCTCCAAGGCCGCAAAAGCCCGCAAAGGCTCCCCCTCTCCACCCTGAGAGCGAGCTGCCACTTGACCGGGAAGTTGGACATCTTCGACGCGGCCTTCCAGGATGGTCACCCGCTCCTCCAAACCGTTGCCTTGGATCACTCGAACCAGGGGGGGGGGGGGTTCGATAACAGCTTTTACTTCAGGGTCTTCGGCCCTAGGCCGGCAGCTTGTGGGCAATTGCGGGTTCTGGGGAGTTGTCAGGGCCGCCGGCGTAGCACCCTGGCTCTGCTTTGTGGGACCTCTGGCAGGTTCCGGCCGCTTGGGCACTTCACCCCTTCACTTTCCAGTCTTGATTAAGGGCTCGTTGCAGCTTGAAGCTTCGCCTTCGGCTGAACCCACAAACTTGGATTGTTGCGCAGCGCTTGCACGTTTTAACAAGCAGGAGTGCTGCGCTTCAGACTCTATAAGCGTAACATATGCATGCTATGCATGCGCGCTTTAATGATGGCGATATTTTAAATTAAACGTGCATATACACGCACACCTGAAAAATCAAACGCATTTGCCCGTTTCTTGGGCGCTGGCCTGGGGGTTCGATGTTTCAGATTTCAAGGCCAGGGATATTCCACAGAACATGCCATGATGGATCAGGAGCTGTGCTGCGCCTCGTGGAGGACATACTTCTACGTTTAGCTTGGGCCTTCCTGAGCATTCTGAATTCGACTCAGCCTGCAAGAAAAAAGGACATGTAGAACTACATACACGTACACATGCACGTACACATGCAATACGAACAAACAAACAAACATGTTCAAAAAACCCAAGCCCTCGACACCTTAATCCATCGCAATCCCTCTGCGTCTAATTGTTGCCCAGTGGGCGCTGCACTAGGCGTCTTGCCAGCGCCGCCATGCCGGGCACCTCAAACTGGATGCTATTTGAAGGTGTCTTAAGCTCAGGGATGGCCAAGCACACAAAGTAGAAATACCACTACCGGAAGAACAAGAAGAAAGAAGAAACCTCGAGAATAAAGCCGCGGAATTCACAATGGCCTAGGAACCGCTTCCACGGCGTACACGTGCCGGGCAGCGCCGTGCTTGGCCACGAGCCTCGGGGTCAGCTGAAGGGTTTGAGCGTCTTGCGGCGACCAAAGGCACCAGTCGAAAGAACATGCTAGCTGAGGGCTTACTTACTCGTTGTCACTTCTATTCGGGTACACCCAAGCCTAAGCCGAACATGGCTAACAGTCTAACACAGGCTTCCAGGTGCATGGCGGAATCGTGGCGAAGGAAATGAAGGATTTGGGGATGCACATCGCTAATTAATGCCGTGAATATAGGACACGACTGAAGCCTCCACCATCAGGCAGCACGACGTTGTGCATCATACGTCACCATACCATGCACTCGCAGTAACATGCTCAACACTCCGCTTCCGGCACCGACATCAAGGACGAGCCGGTTCTCGATCGACGCCTGCGGTAAGCTGACGAAACCGCTGCATTCAAAGTTATCCAAGCGTATAAAACTTGGCTGCATGCCATTTGCAGCCAAAGTGCAAACGTAACCAAGAGGTGGCACGGTTGTTTCGGCTACGTATAGCTTGCGAGCTGATGCCCTTGGTACAGTAGCACTGAATCACGGCTGTACTTCTAAAGGGGGCCACATCTTCTCCGAAGGTCAGAACCCTTGCCTTAACATTCCCTAAATCCTTGCGAAACTGCGAGTGACGAATCCGAGGCTTCAAGCTGGCGCCTTGTTCAGGCGGATCGCTGCCAAATAGCAGGACACCTGGAGGTGGTTGCTTGATCTCAGCTACTGGCGGTCATTGTACCTTGTAGAAATTTGGAATTGTTTCGACTCTTGTGCCTTCATCTTGAAGCCAAGATAACATTGAAAAAGGTGCTCTGGCACAAGCCCGTAAGCCAAACTTACAATGACAAGGAGCCCTTTGGCGGTCCCGAAGCATCAAGGCATGCACGTCCAACTGGTCATAGGCCTCCAGCGACACGTGCCAATTGGATCTCGGAAACCCCGATTGTGCGGTGTGCAGCAGCTGGGGCGTGAGCTGTTTTACTGGGCATCCTTGCGATTGAGCCTTATAAGTTTGAGGGCAAGCATGTTAAACGGTAAACACCCACTCTGTAGGCAAATTCACACGAAGCCTCGAAATACGCGTCGTCGCATGGGCCTACCATGCCAGCAGCCACCTCCTGCAACCAGCTCGAAGTACGAATGGTCGTCTAAGCACCCTGAATCACCGCAGACGCGGGCCCCAAAACAAACTCAATGCAAGAACACTTAAGTTTTCAACATTGAATGCCCCGCAATGAAGTCTTCTCTCGGTCCTCCTCCTCCGCTGCATCAGGTTCACGATCCTTGAAACGCTTGGCAAGACCGAGGCTCTACTCAATGTCTGTGTCTGCTACAAATTACTGTCCCACTTTGAGCAGAATGCTTTGTGTGTGTGCGTTCGTTTGTGTGGGCCAACTCATATCGACATGGGTGGAGTTAATAATATTAATCTGATTTTGCATAGGGACCATAATGGGATAACGTTGGAAATGGTTTAGGCTCCTGCATTACAATCCCGATAGCCAGCTGCCTCCTCTCGGCTGGCCTTGCTGGCGCCACCCAGTGGCGACGCCGGCCGCTTGCTCATGGCAGGTGGGTGGTTTCGTTTTGGGGCCTCTTGTAGTGTGGGGCTCCATGACTTTGGGTGGCTTGCGGGGTCGAGGCCTGGTGCTGAGGCTGTTGTTCTGGGGTGCAGCCTATAGGGCCTGGTAGGGCCTTTGCGGCGTGAAGATCGCAGTCACGTGTGCTACATCGTTAAGGAGCCATCAGGCGGTTCGAAAAAGCGAGCGCTTAGAAGCAGCGCCAGCAGCAGAACTACACAGCGTCCGCGCGGCCTGGTGTCGGTTCCGCAGGCTGAGGTCAGAACCCACTGACCAACAAGACTTGTGTGTGTTTGTATGCGTAAAATGTATGATGGAAAGTGACATCTAGAATGTAGAACACGGTAATCACAAACCAAGGGCGACGGCCTAGTATTGTTGCATCCGAGACGCAAAGTCATGAATCACCAGCACAACACCCCAACAATCCCCAAACTCTTTACTGAAGGCTGGGGCTTTCTGGACACGGTGAAGCTCATGATGTCCACTGGAGGTGGCCTCCCCGACTTGGGCTTGGGATTTTGTGGCACATCTCGTTGCAGGGTGCGCTTGCCTCCGAAAAGCTGCAGTGCCCAGTATGAACTTGTATACCTTCACTGACCACGCAGCCCAGCGTATTGCCCATCCGAACGACTCCTCCCCTGCGGAGGCCTTTTCCTCTTGGGCGAGTCCAACTGAGGGCACGTCGGTTGAGGTTTGGGTCGAGTCTACGGGAGGTGGTTTGCATACATTGGACAGCGCCAATTCTCAAGGCTTTGAAGGCTGGGGACAACGATTGAAGGATGTCGGATTTTTCCTAGCACGTTTACATTTACGCATGGCGTCTCCGGCTCTCTGCTGTTGTCTTTCTTTGCCTTCCGTCTCTGCCACTTCACATTTGTCTCTGTCTGTCCAATGCTCTAACGCTCACTCAGTTCTTCTTCTTCTTCTCCTTCTTCTTCATCCTTGTCTTCGTCAGACTGAAATTTTACTATTCTGATGCTTCTTCTGCACTCCTCTCGCTCGCTCGCGCTCTCTCTCTCTCTCTCTGTCCTTCTCTTCTTCTTCTTCTTCTTCTTCTTCTTCTTCTTCTTCTTCTTGTTCTGGCTCTCGCCTTTGAGGCAGAAGCTCCCCTCCCTTCCTACCTCGCTCGCTATATCTTTTTCTCCTTCTTGTCGGGCAAGTCTCTCTCTCCTTCTCTCCTGTCTACACTCCCCTTGCCGCATTGTAATTATACGGATAGAGGGCATCCCCGACATCCTGCACCCAAACCGATATGCAGACCCGAATCCTTCAAATCTTCACCGGCAATTTACAGTAGATTTGGCCTGCCCAAGTGACCTACATCGAGCAGTGGATGTCCGATTGGGACTTGAGGGCTGCATGTGAAACCGAGCCGAGATTCGGACTAATTAAAGAACTGGAGGGTTTTGGGGGGGGGGGGTTGAGGCTTCAGCTCCTACCTAACATAAAGCAGCGTGGGCCTGGTAGACCTCATAGTCACCCATGGTCTTCACCCAACGCCCACCTGCGCAAGAAATCGCCAAGCCTTCCCGAGGCCACCTATGACCTTCTGGAAAACTCAACCGGCAAGAATGCCCAAAGTCTAGAATCTAATTCGGCAGCAGCTGCGTCCGGAAGGTGTCTAGACATCAGGGTATCTTCCCACGGGCACTCTCACCTCCCGTTGAGCCAATCTGACACAATTGCATGTGCCAACCCATGAGCCCCCAGGAGGAAGTCCTAAATCCTTGAACCCATGAAGGCCACATACCGAGAAATGGAGGTACGGGCATGGGCAGTGGCTGGCAATTTTGTACTGGAAGGCCCCAGCCTTGGTCCCAATCCCGAACCACCTCTCTCGGTGTTTACCTAAACTTACCTAAACCTCTTATTCTGAATCCAGTTTCCGTTTTAGGGTACTAAAATCTTTACGCACAAGACAGCCCGCGCCTATGGATGGGAGCCGGAAGTTGAAGTCTACTTCAGCCGAAAGGAGCGGTGGCAGGCACAGCATGCCCTCGTCAAGTTCCTGCAGGCTTTTGTGAAGCTACGGCAGCTACGGGCCTTCTCTGTGTTATACGGCCTGAAGGTTCTGGGCATTCTGGACTGTAGGCGATGGTGCATGCAGCTTTCAGCCTGCGAGTCGTGGTAGTTGCGAGTTGGGGAGTCAGAGTTCACACAAGGCTGATGCTTTCATTTCTGCGCTGGCGTAGCCTGTGGCCGACACGTGTGCCACGAATTGGGCTCCGGGTGCATTGGGATTCATTTGCAATCGCTAAAAAACTAGATCGAATTTGCCTTGCAAGACTAGGCTCGGTGCAAGTTCGGAGCAGAAGTCTGTGGAAGAATGCTCTTGCCAACCGTCTACAAGCTTCTGCTTCGAGTTCTCTATACCAACACCCTACATCCACACAGGATGCCCGGATGCCGAAGCCGGGCTTCACGATAAATATGATTCGCCTTCGGTATCTTCTTTCCATGCCAGAAACTTTCCCGCACCTCCTCCGAACTCCAACATCGAATTCTACAATCCAACTTTAAGCTTTAAGACTGCGTTAAGCATTCCAGACCTCTCTCAAAGAGGTCCTAACCTCCGAGTCTGAGGCAGCACTTGCTGTACAGTGGTGCCGCGTGTTCGTCATCTCTGCCCTGCGCTGCACGAATTCAGGAAGTGCGTAGATCTGCTGTGCCTCATCCGAACAAGAGTCTTCAGGGCTCAAGGCGTTACAAGATTCCTTCTAGGAAGTGGGGGAAAGCTGCAAACAACGACCTGCCGTCAGCCTGCGACGCTCTCTGCAAGGTGTCCCTTTTTTTATTCGGGAACCACAAGTGTGCCAATCGATCACCCTATCTTGGAGACCTGGCTAAGGCGCGTGCCCACAAAGGCCTGGGCCGGCAGTACTTAGGCCATTCCGGTGCCACAGTGGGACATGAACTCCTCATGGGCTTCACCCCGAATCCCAGCCGTGTAATGAACCCAAACCACTCCATCTCCATCTCCATCCGCAAAGGTTGTTGTCTATTGGTTGTGCCCTTCGATCCTTCTGGAACCCGGATTAGATTTGCAGCTGTACATTGCCTACCCCGGCTTGATGAAGTTGCCATACAGCATCGCCTCTGAGTCGTGGGCTCAATACTTGAGGTCTGTCAGTGGGCCCCTCGTTCAAACTGGCAGCGCCAGATAGCCGCCCACAAGCCCACAAGGCTTATCTAGAATTTGAAAAACCCAAATCAATTGACACCCTTCGTGCTTGACAAGCTTGGGTTGCGAGCGTCGTTCTCCGCGAAGATCCTTCTCGAGCTGATGGCTCCTGGGCAGACAACTTGCTGGGTGCAGGGGTACCAGCCTTAAGCTTCCCACGAACGGCACAAGAATCTGCCGCACTTCTCAGCCGGGTTCGGGTTTAACATCTTCAGATATCTTCGGGGTGCAAACCTTAAAGAGACGCCCTGAGGCCAAGCATTTCCCAGTTGCAGCCCAAAGTGCGCACTCTGGAACAATGCTCCGCCCTAAAGCACCGTCATTCTGAACAAAGAACCTCCCCCTTAAAAGTATTCGATGCGCTGCGGGGGCCGTCGAGCTATCTTCCTTTTGTTGTTTCGACAGCACATGAAAGCACCGAACGCTCATCCTCGGCTGCGTCCTCAGCCTAGCCCTAGCCCCAAGTAAACCAAGAGCCTTGTTGAAATTCTATGAGTTATAATCCTTTTTCAGGGGAGACTCCCCCACGAAAAAAGGTACCTCTGGGAACCCTAGTCAGGCCGGATCCCTTCAGCACCTGGGGCTCGCGGCGACTTTTGATGCCTTTGCCAGGGCCACCGTTGCAGGCAACCTCGCTTCGTGGCTAGGGCGATTACTCAGCGGCCAACAAGCCCTCGCTTCTGGAGGCACATTTTCGGTTCAGCCTCTCGCTCTAGATTCTTGAAGATTCCTCGGCGATGTAGAGAAGAGCCCCTTCGAATTCTGGATGCTAATCATTGGCCTTAGCTAGGTATACCTCTCAAGACCTTACAAAACTATGCAAAACCGGGGTTCAAAAGTTCAGCTATAGGAGGGAAAATCAAACTTGTTCCGACTCGTGCCCTCCTTTAGTTTTGCCGGGGAGGGTGCAGCGAACGCCGTTCAATCGCACACACCTGTGGCCCTGTCTCAGCTTGTATGTACGCATACGAATGCTGTCAAGTCAAGTCAAGTGTGTGTGTGTGGCTTACATTCAAGTCTTGCCTAAACATCCTTACCCCCAGCTCCCCCCTCCCAACTGTGTCACCCGGCTGGCTAGGCTGAGACCGTGTTTCTGGAGTGGCGGAGGCCTCAAGCAGAGGTTGCAAGTTCGGCAGCCAAAGATTGCGCTGTCATGCAGGCAAACGCTTACGTCATCCCAAATCATGCCGAAGTCATGCCTTAGGCTCTTCCCCCACCAACTGGGATTTACTTGCATGTGCTGGGTCACCTCGGACGATTCTTTCAGGGTGCGCGTTGCGACTGATTCGGGCTTTCGGCAGCCTACGCCCAGATTAAGGCCGCGCACATGGCCGTACAGTAGGGCTCAGGTTCTTCTGGGCTGGGAGCGACAGAAAAAGCACACACCGTGTAGCCACAAGCATTGATATGTTCCTGAGCTCGAACTTTGTTATTTCGGGGTCGGTCTGATTCTGGGCCCTGTTTGGTACCCTAAACTGAGTATTCCAGACGGGCCTAGAAAAGCTAGATCAACTCGCTGGGTTCATTTGGGATATTCTTGGGTTTGGGGGCTGGGGTTTCGCGTTGAGAATGCTGGGATATAACCAGCTAGCCAAATAGAAGCAGCAAAGAGTTGGGGATGTTTGCGGTACTGTACATTGGCCGCGAGCAGCGCGAGGATCGATCCTCGGGGAACCCAGCACCCTTCGGCTATCTCGTCTAAACAAAAATAAATATTCATGTATATATATATATGTGTGTGTGTGTGTATATATAGATATACAATATGGAGATCACATCGACATGAGAATTTGGCCAGCAGCTCTAAGCAAGTCGTCCCCAAGTGTAGCGGTCGCTACCGATGCCTCGCAAGGCGCGCCGAGTCCGCACGTTGAAGGCTTTGTGGCGATGGGCTCCTTGCCGCAAATACCTCTGCAGGTTCCGTACAAGAGGTTAGGAACTCGAAGTCTTGCGGCAAAGAGGTCTTGGGATCTTCCTTGACATTTCTTTAAGGACTTTCGGGGCTTGAATCATGTGCTGACGTGCGTCTTAAGCCCAACGTTGTAACGTCCCCGGACTTGGTGGGAGGCCCTATGACTCCTAGAAGGCACGATGCGAACAAGCAGCTGCAAGCAAGCAGCTCAGCACCGAATCAGAGTTGCACATAAGACTTGGAAGTTTTGGTTTTGGAGGAGGGCACCCACCACTCACATACGTCCGAAAAGAAACCAAAGCTTGCCCATGCTGGTCGTATCAAACACGGTCAAGTCAGCTAAGCAGGTCGAAAGGGCTTCGGGCTTGCCCGAGTTCGTTTCCAGCTGCATTGCTGAACAGTTTCAAGGTGCAACGTCGAACTTTCGAGCTTCAAGATCAGGTCCATTTCGTCCTAGAAGAATAAACAGAAGGGAGGTCACAGGCTGGGGAAGCACCATCCTTCCATGCATCTTCCTGCCAGGGAAGCACTCACAAGTCAAGCTGATGAGGGACTGAGGCTCCAGGCTTTCATGTGGACTGAATGAATATATATATATATACATATATATATATATATATATCTATGACATGATTAACAAAGCCGCGCAGTCTGGCTGGGCAAACTTGCATTCGGCCTCTTCAGCACAGCGTTGCTGCCAAAGCTTCCTGAGATTGGATATGCCAGGCCTTGGCAGCAGAACGGGCTTCGGCTGAGGCCTTTGTGGCCGTGTAGACGAGAAGGTGCATGGAACGTATCGATCTCGAGTTTGTTTGGGTCTGGGGCTCACATGTGCCCACAACGTCTCCGGGCGACTGTCTTTGTCCTGTGGTTCGTGTGGAGGCTCTTGGTATCGAGTCATACGGAAAGTAGGCCAAGCCCCAACCCTCTCAGAGAGCCTCCTAGCTTGCATGCTAGGATTGTTGGTGAGACCGGCCTTTTCTCATGTTAGACGGGGGCGGGATGGACGTTCATTTCGGCCCAATCCCTTAGGGTGGTTGGGTCCCGACGCTTTAGCGTTTGGGATCCTCCTTGGGGAATCACGGGCCTTAACAACGGGCTGGGGGCAACCCGTGTGGTCGGCGGTTTGCGACCGGTCTTGGATCATGCGGCGCTTTTCCATTGCAGGTCAGTGACCCTGAGGCCCTGAGTGTCTATTAAGGGCTGTGTTGGTTGCGGCGGGAGGTGGTGAGTCGTTGTGTCAGCTGGGGAACAAGCGCCGGGGGGCCCACTCTTGTTCAGTCAGTGTGTGTGTGTGTGTGATGGGGGGGAAAGGTAAAATGCCCAAACCCTGGCTGTGATGACCCTCCCAAAACCATATCGGGGGTGTGGCGGAAGGGGCCCCTTTTCGGCCTTTTCTCGTCATGACGGTTTTGTCTCACGCTGGGTTATTCATGTCCAATTCGAGGGCTTGGCGCAGCAGCACTACCAACCCAAGTGAGGTCTCGTTATGGAGGTAGGCCTTTGCCCCTTTAAGATGCCGTTGCGCCCTTCGTGGGGGAACGCATGGCATTTTTCGATGAGGGCAAGGCTACACCCGTCGCGAGCTTCTTCTTCTTCTTCTTCTTGCCTTCTTTAAAGGGTTCTGAACTATACTAGATATTCCGCGCCCATAAGGAGGGACCATGCAACTACCCTAGGAAGCAAAGGGTGTAGGGTCTAGGAATTAGGACCATCGACCTATTTTGTCCCCAAACGTTCAACTCCAAACCGTATCTTGAAACCTATTTCCGAGTTTTACAAAAGGCTCAACTTGCAACCCGGCTTCACAGGGCTAGCACCGAGGAAACCTTCGGGAAGCTTAGGGAGTAGGGGGGGTATGTAACCCAAAGCTCCCTGATACTCCCCAATACGAGTACTCCCTCAGGCTCCCGAAGCTTCCTTAAGGTTCCCTAGGTGCTTGCCCCCTTAAGGACGCCATAGAGAGGCAAGCATGCGCCGTAACACCCTGACCCCGAATCCCCGCCGATCGCCGAGGGCGGGGTTTAGAATTGAAGCAGGGTCGTGGCTTTGGCTTGGATGGCCCTTCAAACCCTTTAAAAAAAACATTCCTGAACATCATCCTCTCAAACCCAATCAGGGAAAACATCAAATGTCCCAACTGCCTACGTAGTTAGGATAGTAGGTTCCGGGGTTAGGGCTTAGAAGGTTTAGACCTGCTCTCTGATTCACTCCCGGACTCTCGCATTCCTGCAGAATTTGAGCCATGAAGGCTTTGCGCTGTGACGCGTGCCCCTCCGGAACAAACTTCCATTTGCGACCTCAGAGTTGTTTAAGAGGTGTGTACCTTAAACATGCGCGAGGAGAAACGCAGTAAGGAGCTTGGAAGTGGCACCCCTTCCAAACTCTGGTCGAAGCTGTCGCCGAGGGTCAAGGTCTGTAGACCGCTGGGAAGCTGCACCCCTTCCAAGCTCTGGTTGTAACGAAAGCCGAAGGTCAAGGTCTGTAGGCCGCTGGGAAGCTGCACCCCTACCAAGCTTTGGTTGAAAAAACGGCCGAAGGTCAAGGTCTGTAGGCCGCTGGGAAGCTGCACCCCTTCCAAGCTCTGGTTGAAAACATTGCTGAAGGTCAAGGTCTGTAGGCCGCTGGGAAACTGCACCCCTTCCAGGCTCTGGTTAAAATCATGGCCGAAAGTCAAGGTCTGTAGGCCGCTGGGTAGCTGCACCCCTTCCAAACTCTGGTCGAATTTATGTCCGAAGGTCCAGGTCTGCAGGCCGCTGGGAAGCTGCACCCCTTCCAAGCTCCGGTTGAACAATCTGCCGAAGGTCAAAGTCTGTAGGCCGCTGGGGAGCTGCACCCCTTCCAAGCTCTGGTCGAACTCATCGCCGAAGGTCAAGGCATGTAGGCCGCTGGGAAGCTGCACCCCTTCCAAGCTCTGGTTGAAAAAACGTCCGAAGGTCAAGGTCTGCAGGCCACTGGGCAGCTTATCCCCTTCCAAGCTCTGGTTAAAGCTGGCGCCGAAAATCATGGTCTGTAGGCCGCTGGGAAGCTGCACCCCTTCCAAGGTCTGGTTGAACAATCTGCCGAAGGTCATGGTTTGCAGGCCGCTGGGAAGCTGCACCCCTTCCAAACTCTGGTCGAACTTGTCGCCGAAGGTCAAGGCCTGCAGGCCACTGGGAAGCCGCGCCCCTTCCAAGCTCTGGTTGAAATGAGGGGCGAAGGTCAAGGTCTGTAGGCTGCTGGGAAGCTGCCCGCGTTCGAAGCACTGGCTGACATCATGACCACAGGAAAAGTTCTGTAGGCCGCTGGGAAGCTGCACCGCTTCCAAGCTCTGGTTGAATTTATTTCCGAAAGTCAAGGTCTGTAGGCCGCCGGGAAGCAGCACCCCTTCCAAGCTCTGGTTGAAATCATGCCCGAAAGTCAAGGTCTGTAGGCCGCTGGGAAGCTGCACCCCTTCCAAGCTCTTGTTGTAACGATAGCCGAAGGTCAAGGTCTGTAGGGCACTGGGAAGCTGCACCCCTTCCAAGCTCCGGTTGAAATGAAAGCCGAAAGTCAAGGTCTGTAGGCCGTTGGGAAGCTGCACCCCTTGCAAGCTCTGGTTAAACCCAAATGCAAAGGTCAAGGTTTGTAGGCCGCTGGGAAGCTGCACCCCTGCTAAGCTCTTGTCGAACTCATAGCCGAAGGTCAAGGTCTGTAGGCCGCCGGGAAGCTGCACCCCTTCCAAGCTCTGGTTGAAATAAGTGCCGAAGGTCAAGGTCTGTAGGCCGCTGGGAAGCTGCACCCCTTCCAAGCTTTGGTTGAAACTGGCGCTGAAGATCAAGCTCCGTAGGCCGCTGGGTAGTTGCACCCCTTCCAAGCTCTGGTTGAAATCATGCCCGAAAGTCAAGGTCTGTAAGCCGCTGGGAAGCTGCACTCCTTCCAAGCTCTGGTCGAAATCATCGCCGAAGGTCAAGGTCTGTAGGCCGCTGGGAAGCTGCACCCCTTCCAAGCTCTGGTTGAATTCACCGCCGAAGGTCAAGGCCACAACGTCATCCATGGCATCCATGTCTTGATCCAATCCTGTCTTCTCTAATGCTTGCCTTATACTACGTGCCGCGCAGCCTGCGCCACATTTCCGCACCACATATGTCACCTCTTGGTTTTGAATTTGTCGCAGCAGCGGCTGGTGCAGTTCGAGGAGACGCTCCCCCGAAGTCAGCACGATTGATCCTGCGGACAGGCCAACACTTCCCGCGACGCGTCTCCGCACATTCAGCCCCGTTTCCGTATCGTCCACACGGAGCTCAAAAGTCGACCCGGCAACACTGTGGATGGTCACGGGCCACATGCACTCGACGAAGAATGATGCAAGAGTGCGTGAAAATGTCAGTTGGTTCACTTACGAGTTCTTATCAAAGAGATCGAGAAATGACGAACCATTTGACTCCAAACTTCAATGCGGCTATATGGAAGGGTTTGGGGCTTCTCAAAGACTGAGTAAACATGGGTGCATGGTTGCTTGGGGATTCAAGCCGCAAGCTGGAGGGTGGCAGAGACGTGCTATCAATGTCAGATTCCGAACCATGAACCCTAAACCCAAATAGCTGGTTTATAGTCATTCAGGGTACAGGCATGTGTGTTCTTGCAAATTTGAGCAACGAAATGCACCTGAAGTCTGTGCGGATTGCAGAACTGCTTTGGGTCTCTGCTGTAATGTTGTCGTCGGGCTGAGGGTAGCCCAATGAAGGATTCTGTTGCCACCTGCCGAGCTGAGCGGACTGCTGTGCCGGTTTCACAGCAGCCCGCATTGCCACCAGGCAACGTCTGGAGTGGTCGCATAAAACAACTCGAAATGCAACTTTAACCTTAGTACTACTGATTCAGGCCGTAACAGAGGCCTGATCGCTTGGCTTCATGCGTGGTCGGAAGCTTCCCGGTGCTGGTGCCAGCGCTGGCACCTGCAGAATTCAGTGGTCTCGGGACGATACAAGTCTTCAGCAAAAGGCCCGTCTTGGCCATGGACGTCTCTAAAGTACTGGCGTACTGGTCCGGCTTCAGAATTTAATCCTTGTCATAGCTGGTTGCGTCCTACATAGCGTAAACTTTCATGTGCAGTACTCCAGGAACGAAGCATGACGGTACCAGTATATGGTGGTTGTGGCTTTGGTCCGAACATGCTGCACACCACCACACGGTACTATAAAGCAAGTAGATTTGGTTCAACTTCTTCTTAGCAGAATGTTTTGTTTGCCAAAACGTTCGAAAAGCACAACTCGTATTACTGCATCACACAGGGTTCCGTGCCCAAGAAGAAACGTGATCGCCGTCCCCTCCACCCCCCCCACCCCCCTCCCACCCCTCCAAAAAAAGAAATCATTCTGCAGAAGCCTGGTGGAACCGCACCTCCAATAACTTGAGCCTGGTTGTGTCATTCAGTTGAAGGCTCTGAAAAACTGCAAACCTTATGGTCGCTTATAAGCATGCATACATGTGTACATATACAACAATATACTTGGTACGAGTACACATGACACTCTCTATATTTCTATCTCTCTCTCTCTCTCTCTTTGCTTCTTTCTTTCTTTGGGGCATGGGGGAAAACCCCACGCCTAGCTCTCTCTCTTCCTATCCAAGGCCTGGAGGGGGCGGTGAATTCCCGGGCTTCTTATCAGGAGTCTACATCAGCTCAGCCAGCGCCTTCAAGTTGTATCGCATGTTCCGTTGCTTCGACAATTTGCATGCAGCTCTATGCAGATTTTGCAGGGAGCATGTGGTCTTTAGACGGAAGCCAGGCTTCTTGTACACAGCTGCGGTATACTAATTGCCTGTACTAGTGCAGAAACAGTTCGCGAACTGTAATTTACAGCAATAAAGTATGGGTTGATAAACATGGAAAATAGGACATGGCAGCGTTTTAATTCGAAGAATACCCCCCCCCCCGAGTTAAGCATACACTCTGTTTTCCTGGAAAGGAATTTCTAGCATCCATCATACCATACTGAACGAACTTAAATTCACACACTTTGAGATATGCGGCGGATCATAGGGGCGGGAAAGATTATATGTACATACATGCATGCATATCAGCGTAGGTACCTGTACCTGCCTAGAAGACACATGCACATGCCCACATTAGTATTTATGTGTCCATGCATTAAAACATCACAAATCCTTACCGAAAACCTGCCTTGTGCGATCGTGGCCTCACGCTCGCTCTGACGCACCTGGGTTGTTCCAAACCCTCTTCTGCAAATGTCTACAGGCATCAAGCATCAAGCCTACCGATGCACCACTGACGGTCCATGGAAGCATTGATAAACTATAGACTATAGATCATCATCTGGTTGATCTGCCATCAGCTGCAGACTCCCTCCAGCCACGCTCGAGTCAAGAATTGTCAGGACGTTAGTCAAAATCTCGATGCCAAGGCCTAGCCAGGCCCCATAGAAATCCTTCCGAAGACCAACTGTGCCCCCAGTCGGTAACACGGGAAATCTCTCCACCAAACAGAATCAGACTGGACAACTTCTGGACAAATCTGGGTTCATTTTGCGCGTTCTACCATTCTACCCCAAGCCGGAAACACCTACAAAGATGTATCAGACAATGGGTAACAGTAGCATTTCGGTACAGTTGCCCGCCTGAGCCTCCTTTGTCTGCTCCTGTCTGCTCATTAGTGCAACATTCCGGTACAGTTGCCCACCTGAGGCTCCCTGGCCTGCTGATGGTACAGTTGCCCTCTGGCCTGCTAATAACTGTAAGGCAACATGTGGGCACAACTACCTGCCTGAACCTCCTGGCTTGGTGGTACGTTTGCCCGCCCAAGCTCTCTGACCTGCTTGTTGCAGTATGTTGCAGTCACATTCCAGCACAGTTGCCGCCTTTTGTCCTGAAAGTTGTACTGCCTGCTGTCCTGAGCATGTCGCGCCACATGATGCGTGCCATCTTGTCATTATACAAATCGCTCGTCAGGTGGGCTAAATGAATGTCTCCTTGCCAAGAATTACTCTTCCCAACCCATGTTGCGGAAACTCTGGTTGTCAGGCGCTGGCTGCATTCGCCACGGGGGTGGCAGGCAGGCGGCCGAAGGGGCGCCGGGCAGCGCCAAATGGCATACAAGGCCTCGTTTCTAACGCTCATGTCCCTATCGAAAAAGAGGTTGCGTCTCAAACAAGTACATATACTGTGTATATAGATAATATCTAAAAACATATATATATATATATACATACATACATACATACATAACCTTTGTTTATAGTGGTTCGGTCATCATTGGCTTACGTTACGTCCAGCACTATGTATACATACTACATATATATACATACACATGTACACATCATTTGATGCGCTTTCATTTCTTCATACCACAGAGCTTAGGGTTTGTTGTATGCACAAGTGGGTGACAGAAATCGTCTGTGTAGACAATCTACGAGGAGTTGGGGTTCATGAACAATTGCTGGGCTTTTTGGCAACAGGTTGTCCGCTCCGTACCTACTGCCGGCAAGGTCGTCGCGGGATGATGCATGTATTCATAAAACAAAGATAAGATACCTCTCTCGCACCTCTCTCAAAAGCATTCCCTTCACCTCCAACCCTGAAATCGAGAAGCGAGACTTGAATCGTGCTGGCGCCTGCCGGCACGTCTACGCACCAACAGCAAAAAAACACACTTGAGTCCTTGAAATGTGAATCATGACTTCTGTAGCCCAATGTTTGCCGTCAAGCTGCTTCTTCTTCCCTTCGCTCCCCATGTCTTGTCGGGAAGACGATGGTCACGGGAAATAACGAGAAACAAATTAGACAGAAGGCCGACCGCACGGCCCTGGATCCTGGGAAAGCAAAAGACAGCATCATCAGCCCATTCTTTGACATGTTCCACAAGAAATCCTTTCATTGATTCATGCTTTGAGAGAAAAGGTCTGCGCAGTGTGAGAAGGGCTGGCAGCAACACACCCCGAACCATTCTAAGACATTTCCTTGAGTTGGTTAAGAGGGGATGTGTGAACGAGCCATGAATGTACCGTGCGATGAATGCCATGGTGCAAGCCGCGTGCGCAATGCATGCAGATACGAAGACTTCAAGCTCAAAATGTTCCAAACAGCCTCCGTCCTTCCTGCGACGAATCGAGGCTTCCCCAAACCATATGTCCATTTAATCCGTCTCGCAGCGGCGCGCTCTCGTCCGCAGGTCGCTAGCCTCTGCACCCCTGTAAGTGGTTGAATGGCTGACGTTTCGGGGTTGCAGGATTTGTCATTACTGATCTATGAGGAGGTTGTGCTTGTTCGTCTCTTAAAATTATTCGAGCGCCTGGCGTCTAGATGCGCCTGAGCCTAAGGTACATGTTGATTCCCGTGTCTGTGTACAGGGATCGAACGTTCTTGAGCAGTGAGCTCCGGCCTCCTAAGCCGGCCAGAGCTCCGCACTACAGCAGCGGCGAGTGCACAACGCTGAGCATCGCCATGAACAGATCTGACACGCTGGCTGCGCTGATTGTGCTTGATCGGAATGGTGTGTGAATTGTCTATTTGTTGAGCTGGAGGCAGCACGAGCATGATTCAGCTCGAATGCACTCACCTTCAAAAGCCCTGGCTGCACCTCATCTCCGCCGCCTGAGCAGGCGACTTCCATTTTCATGAGGCTACCAACTGGTCGTCGCAAGTTGTCAGGGTGTTTTCTGGAAGCTTGCGAGGAAACCCCGCCTTCAAGCTGCACAATGGGAACTATAGGGAATCTCGAGGATTCGGGGGGGGGGGGGGGGGGGGAGGATTGTTCCCCTTTACTTCTGGGGGCCCGGCGACCGACTTCTCGATCGCTCCCTCCGGTGGCTCCTCGGGCTCCTCGGGGTTCTGGGGCTCCTCCGGCTCCTCGATCGATCTCGTCGGGGCACCTTCCGAGACCCCATACGTCTTTGCCTTCACTCGGCCTTAAAAAAAAACAGCCCTACCAAACCCTAAATTTCAACCCTACGTAAAGGCCCCCCCATCCATCGAATGGAGGGAGGCGCTGGAATCCTAACTCCCAGAGCATCTGCTCATGCCTTCAGCCTCAGACTCCAAAACTCCAAGCCAGGAAAACGGGGCTGCTTGTACAGAACTTAAAATGGGGGGGGGGGGGGGGGACTTGTTAAAATGGGGGGTGCCCTTGTTGGGGTTCCGATAAGGAGCACATGCAAACACAGCTCCTGGGCTCCCCGGCCAGGTTTGCTCTGCTCTTGCTGGCCTCCTTCTTGGCCTCCGCCTTTTCGGCTTCCGCCTTCTTGGCTTCCGCCTTTTTGGCCTTGATCTCCTGATAGGCGAGACTTCCCAGGGCGAGCAAAGCAGAATTAGACGGAGCTCTGGAAAGAGGAAGCTCTTGGCACATCTTCTCGTGATTTCTCATTACACAACTCACGACCCGCGCAACTCGTACATTCAGAACCTGGGCCCACGCCCCTCATCCTCCTACAAGATATACACCCCCTACCACTTTCATGTTGCGCATAGTGCAAATAGGTCAACATTATGAGCCTTCACCCCCATGAAGTCCATGAAGCCCTGAATATCCCCACCCTGCAAAGGACTCCGGAACCCGACAGTGACGAAGCGACTACTCAGCAAAGCGTCCGCCGCCGCAGCCAGGAGCTGCTCTTTGCCAGGGAAAGCGGGACCGGCCTCAGCGTTTATATAGGGCTTTGATCGAGTTTCAAAGGGCTTGGTTTTCAGGACAGGGAGTCCCAATCCTCGAGGACACTCAAGCCTACCGTGGAGTCCTGAATGCCGAACTTGCCGAAACCTGATCAGGAAAGCAAACTATGCAGGACGTAGGAACAGAGGAGGGTCTAGCCGAACCGAAACCAAACGAAACCAAAACCCAAGAAGAGATACAAAAGTGATACAAATGAGACAAGAAAACAAAACAAAAGAAACTGTGGACCCGTACGCCATCTGGGAAGGCGGCCTGCTATAGAGGGGCACTGTGGGTTTTCAAAGGCCACATGAAGGTGTTTGGCGGGAGTTGCCGTTGGCTGAAGGTGTCTATTCATCGCCAAAGAGACCGACCTGCTTTGGGGAGCTGCAACTTGGGCATCTTTGCGGACAAGTAAGTGTAAGAGTAAGTGTGTAAGTGTGTAAGTGTGTAAGTGTGTAAGTGTGTAAGTGTGTAAGTGTGTAAGTGTGTGTGTGTGTGTGTGTGTGTGTGTGTGTGTTTGTTCTTTTGTGTCTGCGCGCGCGCACACGCTCGCGCTCTTCGTGGTGTTGGGACAGTTGGAAGGAAGTCTTTGTAGCTCGGGGGATGGGAGATGAGGGCTCGACAGGTTTGGAACCAACACTCCCGGAGTCAATCTGCAAGCAGCTGTCTGCAAGAGCACTCTTGCGTATCCTGTGTGGCTGTAGTGGCGGCCTCCAAGGAAGCGTAGCCCGCTTCCGTGAGGCTCGAGGAGACCTTTTCCAAGGCTCTGAGGGCTTCTTAGAAAATTTAGGGAACATCTTTACATGCCTCGCTCATGTTTTTTTCTAACAGGGCTTGCATCCATTTTGTCTTCAGAAACACCGGCTGTGCTTGTTGCAATACTTTGGCTCGGCTGGTGCACGTGAGAGTCTTCTGGTGACTGACCTACAGTGCACAGCTTGATATTGAAGCGAGGAGGCGTCGCCCCACCCTATAAGAAGCTAAAAGCTGGCTCTCGGTCAGCACCCGCGCCTCTTGTAACCGCGTGCCGATGACGTGGAACACGAGGCTGTGATCCGGCGCAACCTTGCACGTTCCCGGTCATGACATGTAGATGCTGCAAGATGTTGCAGACATGTTGTTTAAATGTTCTTTTGATCGGACATTGAGCATACAAGTAGGAGATGCTAGGCAGTGTGACCCTCTGGACTGCTTGTCTCATCAAGACTTCTCTTGCGTTATGTGTTTCCCTTCCCCCCACAAAGCTAATTTTAATCTGTTTCTCCAAGCAAACCCCACTGAGCCTTAAACCCTCTGAACAACGTGCTACCCGAAAAATGCGAAATTGTTCAGTTCCAATCAGCAGGACATTCTCCGTGCCAGTCAACAGACTCTCAGTCAGAATCGTCGAAGAGCTAGCTGAATTTGTTGATTGTGAGAACTTGAGTAACTGGAGCTGAGGTTGCGCACCATGGACAGCAGCATGGCAAGCTGGGCGATGTCATCCGGGGGGAGGACCGGAGCCTGGACTGTCCGCAGGCCAAACTGAGCAGTCCTTGTAAATTGCCATCCCTTTTTGGGTACGCCTCCTACCTAGAACACTCCCTTTTTGAGGAGGATCCCCATGAAGTGGACAGCTACAGAAAATTGACACCCCCCCCCCCCGTTTGTTCCTCCTCGACTCCAGGAGGGCAAACGAGGGCTTTGCAGAGAAAGTTTGCATCTAAACTGGCTTATACATTTGCAGGGAGATAGAAGGGATCCTGGTGACTTTCCGGGTAATTGCAATTGAAGATTTCGGGCTCCGTGGGGCTGGTTGTCGGGCGCCTTGTTGTCCGAGCCGGCCAAGAGCTGGGCCTTGGAAGTCGAAAGATTCCTTTATGAAGAAGCTTGCGGATGGAGCTGTAGAAGGCGTCCAGCAAGGTCGCCCGACGTGTCACTCTGACACAAACACACCAACCACGCAACCACACAATTTAAAAACCAGCTCTAGCCCCAAGTCCAAGGACAACACATGGGGTTGTGGCATCGAGGAGTTGAGGAGGGCTCCTACAGGCGAAGAAATCTCTACCTTTCATGCTGGGAAGCACGCCCAGAAGTTGAGGAGTCGAATTACCACCTTGACAAGAGCTCGGTCGGGAGATTCGGGCGCTCGGTTGGAAGATTTGGGCAGGTTGGCATTATCTGATCTATTGACATTGACAATTCTCGGAGGCTGCTTGGGGGAGAGCAGGACCAGGTGTCCCAGCGATTCAAGAACCGCATCGGGTCGATTTTCGCGATGCCCAAGCAGGAGTGGCGAGTGTAGGGGTCCAAGGGGCTGAAATGGGAGTGCAACAACGCCAAACCGCCGAGCCCCCCCCTGAATCAGCCTGTCATTTATGCGTGTGAGAAGTGTTCTGGGGCGGAAACAGGATGGGAGCCTCCGAGAGGCAGCACCTTAAGGCAGTAAGAGTGAGCATCTGGTCTTGGCAAGCGAATTTGCCGCGGCATGTCTCAAGACTCTCAAGATAGAAAGAGCCCATCACCTCATTACTATCCGAGAACAGGGGGGCCTAAGCTCTGCACACCCTGCGTCAGCAGCATGACTTGCTCCGGCTTCATCTCTGCGCCTTTCAAAACCTCAGCAGGTCTCAACGCTGACTCTGGCAGGGCCAAGGTTTGCAGGAGTTGGAGAGGTTGCCTTTTGGGTTTGTGGGTGGCCAGAAACCCGGCCCCTTGGCCCCTAACCTTAACCACCGAGGCCACTGACAAGCTTCGCATCTCAGCATCCAGACTTTCTAGTCTGCTGCAGCGCCCGAAGACCCCCAACACTTGGAAAGTACAATGGCAATCCACCAACTCCAAACAGCTCGCCTCCAACAGCTCGGAAGACCACCCCAAAGAACCTCCATTCACATCTTCGGCTCCCGGCCGCTTTGTTCGCAGCTGCCTCCAACAGGTCTCGGCCTCTGCTCGTGGGCGAGGCCTATGGGGGGGTTGGATCTGTACTCCCCTTTTTGAAGCCTGAATGGCAAAGATCTGTTTCACGTTCCCTTGGTGGGCATTCTGCCCATAAGCAGTGTCAAGGGACTTTCATAGACTGTAAGGCACGAGCAGTGGGCTGCAGCTGCTCCAGCGGCAACCACTACCTGACTGCTCAATCTGGGGTTAAGGTTGAGTCAACTGCCTAAGGGGTGGGGGCCCGAAGCTTTTCGCATCTTGTTTGCGGGTAACCTCTATATACAATCCAGAACCAATCCCACGTCCCTGTACCCCAAACTCGCCTTCAGCAGCACTGTGGCGCTAAGAGCTGAGAGGCGAGATGTGAGGACCTGCCGGGAAGTTGCACTACTTGTGCCCCAGAATGCAACTTGACAAGGCCCTCACTGACTCATTCAAAATGAACCGCAGCGCAGGGTACTTCAGAGTTGGGACACAGAGGTATGTTGGACTTGGAGTTGACGATGAGCATCTGCAAAGGACAGTGCCGAGGGATGAGGATTGGTGATTCTCTGTTTTGAAGTTGCCGCCGCTTTGGGGAGTTGGTGCTTCTGGGGATCTTTAGCTCAAGAAGCACAGCGCAGGTTTTTGGGGTGCGGTACGTGTTACAAGCTTATGAGGTTCATGGGTTAAAGGTCAATCGGGTTAAGTTGGAATTGCGGAGCATCCAGGGGCTTTGAGGAGGCCGAGAGTCTTCGGCGCCCTTTCTTCTTTGGTGTGCGTCTGTGTGCGTCTCTGTGTGCGCGTGTGCTCACAACTGGTCATCCCGCCTCGGTGACGCGGCTAAAAAGCCTCTTTGCGCCGAGGCCTTGAGGGACGCAAGCGAAGACTTCTACGTTTAGGCTTCAGCCATTTGGGATCTCAGCTTGGCAGCCTTCACCTTGAGCCTCATCTCAGTTGTGGAAGCCTTTGCGCTTTTGAACAGGAAATTCAAGGATGCAAAGGTCTCGGCTTAGGACTCTGCTTCTACGTAGATATATATATATATATTATATATATATATATATATATATATTTATATTTATATTGATATTTATATTTATATATGTATATGGTTACGTCTCGATAAGGGGGCACGTCTAAAAAGGCGGAGAAGCTGAGCTCTGCCACTGTTTGCCGAATTTTGGGCGCTGGTTGCCACAAGAAGCATCAGCTCCGCAACATCTTCCGCGGTCCTCGGAAGGTTTTACCGGCCATTTGGTTTACAGGCGTTACTAATTTACAGGGTTTGCAGGCCCGAGTAGTTAGGGCACAGTATATCGGGGCACGATTTGTTGGGTTTACCCTTTCGAGGGCTCGAAGGCCCTCACGCGCAGACTGCGTGCTTCCAACCTCCAAGAGTTCCCTAAGCCTGAACTGGCAAAACTTTACATGCACTCAAATACCCAGGCCAAAAAAAAAACCATCGTACATGAAACTGGATGTCCGTAGGTGTCTCGGGCTACAATAATTGACACAGACCAAGGCTCTCTCTCTCTCCCTCCCTCCCTCCCTCCCTCCCCCTCTCTCTCTCTCTCTCTCTCTCCCTCCCTCCCTCCCTCCCTCCCTCACTCTCTCTCTCTTTCTCTCTCTCTCTCTCTCTCTCTCTCTCTCTCTCTCTCTTTCTACCACTATGGTTAGCCAAACTGTAGGTATAATCCACTACAACCCTACTTCGGGTATATAACCCCACTTATCCCTGAACACAAGGTCAAGCTGAGCCAGCAGCCAGCTCTCTAAGCCTCAGAGGAGGGTGGCTGCTTGGCAGAGGCTTTGCGCATGGGTGCTGAGTGGTTTGGGTTGAGTGAAGCCTACACTTTCACCCCAAATAACATGTGAATCCTCATCCTTTCTTTGGAGAAGCCTCATGTCCCTACAAGCCGGAGCGGCAAGCGGGCAGCTTGATACTCCTGCTGGTCCGACACTACACGAGGCTTCCCCCCAACAGCTTCAGCTTTATAGGGTACTTTTTTAGCGGCATCTTCTTCTTCTTCTTACTGGTATTACTCTTGCAGTCTGCCCTGCATTTGCGACTGTCTCGGCCTCAAGCACTCACCACCACCATACCAAGTACTGCAGCCTAGGGGCTCTGAGCCGCGGCGCCTGCCACCTGAGGCATCTGCGTGTAGGGTGGCTCAATGTCTGTGATTGGTCTGAAACCGGGTTTCAGGGTTTAAGGGGCTTCTCAAGACACTTTGGCTGCCATCCAGTAGACTAATGACTCATGCGGCAAGGGCAAGACGTTGCTGTGCTCCAGCCGCGATATGTTCCCAAAAGCGCCAATTCCAGAAAACAGTTTTGGAGTTCCCAAGGGGCCTCTAGGTTTGACAGGGTCGTTGCGGGTTTTGATCGGTTAGGCACCCAATGTTTCGCTGACTGAGGAGACAATTGGAAGGCTGACAAAGCTGACAGGATGTGGCCAGAACCGATCCTGTCCTGACTGATAGAATGAGAATGACCAGAGCCCTCATGAAATAGAGCAGCCCCTTTCCAGAACCACGAATGTGTCGTCTGCACCCATCCCAGCAAAATTCCGACAAGCCCCAAATCAGATGAAGCCTGAGCCTAAATAGTGACTCTGTTGGGCTGGCCCGGGGCCCCCTGCAGGGCCGAGCGCACATTCCGCGATGCACGCGGAGCGCGTGGAGGCTGTCGCCAGGCCTTGGTAGGATCTTGCAGTAGGACCCAGTAGGGAGAGCTCTTTGGAGCAAGTCCTCATCAGATGGCGTCAAGAGTCATGCAGCAACCTTGAAGTCCACCCCAAATTGCCATCACAAGCCGTTTCACGGTCCCCAGGACCCGGCGCAGGAGTCGCGACGGGGGCACTGTTGCTAGGCCGGGTCCGGCGACTGCCACCTGAAAGATAGGTGGGCTGTGTATAAAACAGCTTGTAAGTGCGTTTGACATGTATAGCCACATATGCGTATCTCTATATATATATATGTGTGCGTGTGCATACACAGAAGCCTAACAATAAACATGGAACTGTAAATGTGTAGAAATCTCAGATAGATGCACAAATAGAAAATGGAAGTAAACTTGCTAATGAACATGAGCTTTGCAGTCAACGGCGGCTCGGAACACAGCATGGAGGGGCATCCCTGAATTAGGCAACCTGAACCCTTTCTCTCGCAGATTTAAAGCCGAACGTATCCGAAGTGCCGAGATATGCCGAGGCACTCGAGCTTGCAGAGGTGGGCGTAGCAAGTCGTCCTTGAGACCTGGGCTGGGGGCGCCTCAGGTAATTAAACAAAATCTTCTCGTCTTTGGCCACTTGCACATGCACCCTGGAAATCTCCCAATTCTCAGCCTCCCGCAATTTGTTCTATCGCGGCACATGAATGCGTCATAAAGACGATGCACGGCAAGTATACCCGTGTCCCCAACTGCAAATCCCTGAGCTGCAGGGTACGCCTCGACTTGCACAGGGGGGGCTCTCTGAGATCTGCGGTAGCCAGCAACAGAAAACGCAAAATATACTTGGGCCTTGAAGTGTTTCCCATCCAGTACCACAATTCAGGTCTGAAGTACATACTAGATGATCGGTACAAGGGCTATGCAAGAGAACGCCCGAAACAAAAACATGCAGCCTGGAGCATCCATATTAAGCCACCCTCAACCCCACACAGCCCTATCAACCCCATACACCAGCCCCATTTCACCCCTAAGCCATTTCGGGGCAGCGGCCTTGCTCTCCCAGCGCCGCTACTATGCTCACCTCGAGAGGGCAGAAGTTTAGGGAAGCTCCGGATTCGGATTCATTTTTTTGCACAAGGGATGTGTTGTGGGAGTGGGTTTCGGCCCCAACTGAAGTCCACAGCCTCAGCCGAATTTCTAACTCCAGAAACACACCTCAACACGACTCGCATCAGTCTACGTCTGACATATCTGCCTCGGGCGTAGCAAGCCCGCAAAGTCAACGCACACAACCCCACGCAAAGCCGAGTCCTAACCTGTCCCGTCTTGGTGAAGTTTGAGGGTCAGAAGGTGCAGGGGTTCCCTTGAAAGCTTGAAGTATTCCTGTTGGTTGTTTGGGCCCCCTTCGTGTTCTGAGGCCTAACCTTAGGTCTCACTGTGGCATTGCCTCATTTGTGAAGTGACACGTTGGGGTTCCAGGTTTGGCTTTGGCTGCTTCAGGGGTCTGGCCTTACAAAGGTGCGAAAGAGCCCTGTCTTGCTTTCGAGCTCTGGAGCTGTGAGCCCAGCCAAATCATGCTGAGCACAACAAGTAAGCAACAGAGGCCCGTTTAAGGCACATCATCTCAATATCCCCCTTGATAAGCCCCAAGACCCGAAACTCTAACCCAAATAGAGAAATTGCACCACTCTCGTTAAGCAAATTATTTGACATCGAGACCCAGGTGCTAGGTCCGGCAGCGGCAGCCGCTGGAGCAACGGTGGCCGGAGCTTCGAGGCAACATTGGCGATCTGCGGGTGACTATTTAGCCACTTTGTTTTTTGTTGCGTTTGCTACGTTTTTTTGCCGCCCGCCTAGCTGACACTGTGGCAGAGAAGTGTATAGGGTACTATAGTTACTATGGGGTGCAAGGTCGTAGGGTCTGTTGGCGAGGCAGACCAGCCGCTCTGCAGGGCAAGCCAGTGGTGATGTCAGTTTCAACAAAAAGGAGCGGCCGTAAGTAATAGAACCCTAGACCCTAGGTAAGGGCACCCGATATCGCAGCGTGTGTTCAGGACCATGCGCACATGTAGCGCTTCCAGCTTCGCTGGGCTTAAGGCTTAAGGCTTCAGGCTTCAGGCTTAAGGCTTAAGGCTGGTTTAAGGCTGGTTTCGGGTCAGGGACTAAGGCTCAAGGGCTAAGAAAGTAAAGGTCTTTGCCTAGGTTTGGATAGGACTTGCAGCTGCTGCTCGGAAGTGTTGGATGTTGATGGACATCACGTGTTGAGTCGCAGTAAGAACTTTATACAAGTAGCGAATATTTAAGACGATCGGAATGCACGGCCAGGAAGCCTTGATGCAGCACCGTTTGAGTGTTCTTGTGGCAAAACATCTTCGAATTGACAGCTTCATGAAGCAACTCCGTTGGTTTGAAGCTGCAAAACACGCAAAAAAGTTGGTCATTACCTGGTTGCCACGGACCAGCACAAGTGAGCCGAGACCGTGCCAGAGACGTTGGCCTTGACCGAAAGCATGAAGCAGCGCGCAGCGCTATCGTGGGACAGCTCTACACAATATGTACAAAAGGGTGAGCCTGTCCAAAGCCACACATGGCCAGGCAGAGTTTGACGACGTGCCACGATCAGCCGGCTGCGAGTTTAATCGCGCCTGCTCGCACGTTGTGGTGGCACATCATCTCGTCTCCGCAGAAGACTGTGAGGGGAACCATCGCTCCCCCTGGTGCCAAGGCGAAGATTCCATGCAGTCTGTACAAGGCGGCATACATTCTGCTGCCATATCGGAAGGCCGGCGATGCCCAAACGTATGCATTTTGCAGACGAGGTGACAGAGAACAGAAAGAGCCCAACAGCACCTTTACTCTGCCCGGGTCGTTTCGGCCTTTGGCTTTTGAAGCCAATTTTGCAAAATATCAAGGCCTGCAAGTACCGTCTCTACTGTCAACAATACACATAGTCCTTGCCTCACATAACCTTTGAACCACCTGCCGCTTATCATTGCGGTATAAAGACACAATTATTCAGCAGACGGTCCCTGGGAACATCGTAGTTTCCTAGGCTCCAGAGTCAGACTTCACAAAGTGCACCACCTCGCGGGTTGGTTGTGCCAGCCACGGAAGCACCATGCGCCAGGCCGAGCTTGCCACGGATGGTGGGTCCATGACCGAGATGTCTCCGGGGAGGCGGTCGTAGAAGGGCGATACGAAGGGTTGGATGGACCGTATGACCTCTACGATGCATCGCATGCACGGGAGCCAGTTGCACAGGCCGAGCCCTGCACAGTCCACGATCAAACTCATGCGAAACATGTTGCCCGTCATGTGCGGCTTCGTCCAGCCGATGGTCTTCGCCACGCTGTCCAGGCCGCAAAGCGCTTGCTGTGCGAGGAGCTGGGACTGTGCAAGCGTCATGTGCTCGTCTGCAACGTTGACAACAAGGACCTCGCGCTTGGCATCGTCCTGGCCAACATGTCGAATGACTTGCTGTATGCCTGAAGGGATCTTCTCACAAGCGCTGGCGAAGGGCGGCTCCCAGGGATAGACGAGCCAGTGGGGCGCGCCCGGGAAGGCATCGAGGCCCCGAAGCTCCTGGTGAGGGTGCACTTTTTTTTTGGCCCTTTTATGTATTTGTTTCTTGGCCCTTAGTTTTTTTTTTTTTTTTTTTTTTTTTTTGGGGGGGGGGGGGGGGGTTAGGGTTTTTTTCGCCACTCACCTAGCTGACTCAGAGAGACGCACTGCAGGGGGGTTAGGGTTTAGGGTGAGAGAGGAAAATAGAGTTGCTCCTCTGGTTTTCCTCTGTTTTCTACCAGAAAAAAAGGAGAAAACAAAAGGGGCAACAAAAAAAAACTAACAAAAAAAGGGTTCCGTCCTGGTGACCCTGGATGACAAAGAGCGGCTGCAACTGCACCAGGAAGGCGCAAAGGCCAACCAGAAGAAGCCAGTGCCGCCTTTGTGTCGGCATTCCGAATCCACGCATGGCTCGGGTTCGTCGAGACCGCCCTATCTGCAAGCTGCCGTGAATGCAACACGCCGGCGGCAAGCCGAACTTCTCTTGAAATCAGCGATTCCACCAGTTCTGGAACTGGGGACCCTCGGGCATTCGGACTTGGGGCCCTAACTTCGTCGGAACTTTGCTAAGTTGCTGTCGTTGATATATGGCCGAATCATCGTTTCATCATATATGCACCTTATCGCAGCAACCCAATTTGACTTCCAGGGCTTCAGGTGAACCTCTGAGGGATGCGTGGTTTCCGGCTCCGGAAGTCTAACAGAAGGCCAGCACGTGCGGGTTTAGAGCTTGCACCACAGACAAGCCCACAAAAGGCGGAGAGTGAGGGGAAGCTTCGGAAGGGCAGGTAGACGCGCAAGGAGCTCAGAAAAGTCAGACCGGCGAGAGGTGTAGCAACATGGGGCTCAAGGTTCCGGAGTCATTTCGCCTTCTTTCATGAGATTAGGCAGGATGTACGCGCGTTGGCTTTGTACAGCCGGGGTACTCTTCTATAACTTACAAAGTAATATATCTCTCTTATGTATTTGTCATATTTGAATATCGCTTCGGTCTTGATCTGCTCGCGGAGTCTGCAGGAGCGCTGACAACTTACCATCCCTGACGAGATCCGTTCGTGGCATGTCGGGGTCGCGTTCTGAAACCTCAATGCTTGGCTCACCCTGAAGCCTCCAAGTTGTTCTCCGCAAGCGCTAAGAGGATCTCCGCAGCGACAGTCCCATCCGCGTAGGCGATGCCCTTCATCTCTACTCCTGCGGGCTTGGATCCAGGGCCAGTTGTGGTTCTCATGCACGTTGCTAGGGGATTCAAAGGTTTATGCCGGGTTTGGGACAATTCATGTGAACCTTCTCCACATAACTAATGCAACAGTGGTTGGACAAAATCTCCCTGCGAAGAACTTAGAAGGCCAAAGCAGTCAATCCTGATGACTTCGGTCCTCTTGTCTACAACTCCCAACTACACCTTAAAGGACCTAAAGCTTGCACCTCTGATGCGTTGGCCGCATTCCCTGAGCACCATTGAAACAGAAGCTCGGACTCCTAACCCGAGATGCAACAAGTTGGCAAAACCCCCTTCCTGCCAGCACTTCCACAATGGGCCGCGCGGCTTTCGCCAACCTCAACTGAGAGCAGTTTAGAGGCCGCTTAGACACAGGAAAAACTGTTTCGAGCAGTTTCGTCGTGTTATAATGCCATATATTACTGAAGAGTAGGTCAACTCACACTCACTCTACAGATTTTGGATATTTGGGTTGGGCAATTCAGGGACACTCTGGGGTTGGGTATTCCAGGAAGCGCTGGGTTTGGGCACTCCAAAACACACTATTGTTGGGGACGCTCTAAGTACTAAGGTTGGGCCTGGAGATACTCTGGAGTAGGATACGGGTGATGGGCAAGGAGCAGATCGAGGAGAGCCTAGTTTAGAATCTAACGACGCCACACCGAGGGTGGGAACAACGCCGACATCCAGGAATCGAACGCTGTGAGCAGATATCCTTCATGTGAGGGTGTGGCAAGTGTGGCCTTGTATATGTTCCTTTCGAGTATGACCGAACAAAGCCCGGAAGCAGCTCTTGGGAAGCCTGTTTAAGTCTACATGTGCGTGTGGGCGAGTGCGGGTAGCAAGCATGGCCTGGCACAGATACGACAGAGGAATCTTTTTTTTTACAGTTGTGCTTGCCATTATATTAAGCTTTAAACTTTCCGATGGCATTTCGAGTGAACGGCCAAGCTCTTGGACAAGAAGGCTTGGGGGGGGGCCACTTAAATCATCTCTTCAGGGCCTTCTTGCTTGATAAAACTTTGGGAATGTTCCTCTGTGCCTGTTCCAGGCGCGCATTCGCAAGTTTGAGCGAGGAAGTACATGTGACACAGGAGCTGAAGCTGGCCACCCCTGCAATCGACCGTGTGAATGTTTGTTCATGGCAGGACCAGCCTCAGGCTTTTTTTTTCAGGCTCGGGGGATGAAAAGGGGTGTTGCTAGCGTACTAGGGCTCGAGGGCGGGTTTGAAATAGGTTTCTTTGAGGTCCACAGAGCCCATCGGTTTCACATATACTAGTAACTAGTATACAAGGGCTTTCAGCAACCTCGAGGGTGGCCAGCCTGTTCATGAAACTGAACTACGGCTGCGGGGCAGTTTTCAGCGAGCCGTAGTCTCATGGACTTCCGACAGGGTTTTTTGAGAGGGCAGCCTTTGTTGTGTGGTTCATTACGAGCCATCAGATTAGTCAAAAGAATCAAATGAACCAAATGACAGACGGATCGAATCAATAATCCACAGCACCCCAGAGCTGGGACCAAGGCTTGGCGGCAGTGCGGAGGGGCTGCAGGAGGATGCCGGGCTTCTGATGCCTGGGCTTGGGGATGGTTTAAGCTTATGACTATGAGCTACAGGACTTCGAACAGGGTTTAAAACGTCTAAGGGTTAAAGTTCTTAGTGTCTTGCACAGGCTCAGGCCAGGTCTTGCTGGGGGGGGGGGGGGGGGGGGGGGACGGCTGCGAGGTGCCATGACATTGGGCTCCGGACTTTATGAGCGGGCTCAGGGCATCGGCGAGGGGCTCTGCCACGGCCTTCGGCAAACATAAGCCCCAAATCCCCCAAATCTCAACGCACACGCCTTCTTCACCTTGGCATTCACTTCCACAGTTCCAAACCAGTATTCGAGGCCGCCACCCGCCAGTTTAGCGGCAAGGACAGAAGCTCTGGAAGAACCTCCAGCCTTAGCTGCTCGGTGAGGAGACCTGCCAAAGAACTCGCCCAAACTCCAACCTGCGGATGCCACTTGCTTCGATTTTGTGTTCCGGGCTGCAGCTGTGGGAGTGTCGGTATGTGTAACCAGGCGATGGCCAAGGCGAGCACGAAACCTCTTCCGGCGCGTGCCGCACTCCTCGGCCAAGGGTTCACTAAAGGGTAGGTACAGGTGGGTACCGGAGTTACTGTCCTACCAGCCTCTTGAGGGTTTATACATGTAGTACATGTATCTCTCTCTCTCTCTCTCTCGTTCCTTCTCTGCCGCTGCATCCAGAGGGTCTAGCAACGACAGGCAAAGCATGTATAGACATATATATATATATATGTATGGTCTTAGGACTGGCTCTGTCGAAGGAGTTGTTTTGCCAGGATTGTGGACAGAGACAACAAACTTGAACAGGAAGAAGGAGGGTTCCAAGAGGAAGACCTGTAAGAGCATTTCGGCATAACACACATCCAAAGCCCCGCATCTCCGGCAGAGGCAGCTGTCGGGGGCAACATGCTGCACCATGCTCTGCATGATTTAGGCTCCACAGTAGCTGCTGCGTTCTCTCAAAGCCGGTTGGTCCAAGCCGGTCCAAGTGTCTACCGCCGATGAGCTCCGATATGCTTTCCACGGCCCCCTGGCAGGCCTCGGAAGGGTTTCGGGGGGACTTTAAGTCGGGTTTTTGCGTTGTTTACATGCTGTTCTTGTTGTCGGCGGTTTGCTGATTCTGCTACAGGGCTGCGATGTTTGCGGCTTTTGGGGACTTGCAGACTCGGCCATAAGCACATTGGGCGCCCGGCACTGACCAGTTCCCTGTCCACGTCCGCTTTGTCAATGGATGCCACGTCCTGCTTCTCGGCCGGGAATCGGGCGTTTCGAACTTTCATATTTTGGAGGGTTCAGCTGCAGGCCCGGCCATGCAAAATCGGAAATCGCAATTGCACTTTGGTTCAGATCCCTACCAGCTACTATAGCAAGAACAATGAACAAACCTGCCTCTCCATGACCTTGGCCTCTTCCAACCCCAGACAACCCAGGAACGCATCACGACGGGAAGGCCGGCGACCAAAAAAAATGTCCCAAGCTGGCCTTCTGCATGCCTAACAACGTCGACATCGGAAGCCTGGGCATGAGAACAGGGGAACGCACGTGTCTTCCAAGGTGTTTTGATGATTACGGTGGACTGGGCTTGGGCTTTGCTAGTAATCCAGAGGTGCCAGGGACCGGGGACCGCCGTTTTGAAATGCAATCGAACGACGCAGCTTCCCGTCGCTTGTCGCGCTTGCTGAAGACGCCCTCCCCGAGCAAGACGGGCCTGAGCTATCAAAGCAGAGAAGGGCAGTTCAGGCGCCTCATTAATTATTCCAGCACCCCGACTTCGTGCCCTATGTATTCCGCTACAAGTTGAATGCATGCGGCGGAGCATGCAAGACAGGTGGGGCACAACAAGCCGCCCACAACCTAAGTGCTGTCCTTCGTGGAGCCCACTGCTGACGCGCGAGACAAAACCCTCCATGTGCATCCCATGCCTCACCTGCAATGCCCAGGAGATACTTGCAAAACCAGACCGTGTCACACGTGCACACGCCAGCACCCTGAAGCCTGAAGCTTTCAACGAGCCCTCGAGCATTCCCCCCCCCAAAAAAAAAAAACAACAACCCCGTCGACACGACTGAAGGCTTCTCCGCCGACAATAACCTTCTAAGGATTCCCCATGTTCCCGATGCCAAAATTTCCCCCAATGGCAAGGGCCCCCTGCAGAGTGATCAGGAACCTCCGCCTCGCAGCCTCAGAAAAACAGGCCGGCTCTAGGCGGAGGTCGCAGGAAGGTCCTGGGCGATGCTCGACCTCCTTGATCCGGAGTGTGCGGCGTGCGTGGCTTGCAGCATGTTTTGGGGGTTGGGGTCAGGGTCTTCAGGAGTCTTCGAAAGGAGCAGGGTTGAAAGCTTGAAGGGGCTGCTGAAGTCCATGTTGCCCAGTTTCGAGGTTCTTGGCTGCCGGCCATGAGGTCCTTCTGCTTGTCTGCTGCCTTGGCTGCGTGTTCGAGGGTCTCGCTTGGAGCATCTTGGAGCTTTGGGCTTAAAGTGTTTCAGCATGTCAAGGTGTCTGCGCGCGTGCGCGCGGGGGCGGTCATGTGACGCTTAGTTCTGGACGTCGCCTCGGCAAGCACGCCGTGTCATGGCGTGAAGAACAAGCTACAGCAGGCGTGTTCACAAACAAGTGCAGGCTAGACACTAGACATGCCTGAACACAACACATAATGTTGCACTGACTTTAAAAGAACTAGGGTCTATAATCACAAGTAATTTATTCTGCGAACCGAGTTTGTTGGGGTAACCCGCTTTCATCACACAAGTTTTTTCCGGACGGTTGATTAATGTTGATTATGTGAATTATGTGTTTAGGGTTAAGGGCTTACGCAGTAATGCTTCAGGCCTTAAGGTCCTAAAGGCTTAAGGTCCTGAGGGCGGTTCCCCCCGCCCCCACCCCAATTTTTGGGGGGGTCGCCGCGCCGCGCCTTTACAAAGGGTTCGATTAATTTTGTTGGGGGGCAGGCGGGAGGGGCGGGGGGGGGCCATGTAATCAAAGCAGCGCAACATCACACAAAAAAAACATATAACAAAACACATACTAGCGCCGTCGGGAAGCCAAGTGGGAGGACTTCTCTGCGAGTCGACTTAGCGTCGGAACGGCAGCGCCGTGACGCAGTCTCGCCTGGCACTGGGATGTTCGGAGAGCAAGCGGCTAGAATTTCGCGCTGGCCAGCGGGTTGCGCAGGGGGCTGGGGGTACCGACTCACAGCTTTAAGCAGTCAAAAGCTTGCCAGTGTCTCAAGGTCATCTCCGTTCGCATCCAGAAGCAGCTTGACCTTAGGTGGGCTTGCTGCAGGAGGGCTACCAACACGCTTAGCCCGTCTTGACCAAGGCCAAACTTCACCAGGGGCTTTTTCAAAGGTGCAAACGAGCGGCAGTTGCCATCTGGCTGGGGCTGTTGCCTCAGGCTGGCATTGGCCACAAGCTTTGGCTTCTTAGCATGAAGGTGGCATCACGCTTCGCAACAATTTGGGGGTTGCTCCAATGCCTGGAGCTGAGTGAGCTTTGTGCTGGTTCAAGCCGTCACTTATCGGCTTCATGGCCTTTCCCATAAACTCCAGCGAGTGATTGGGACCCTCGGATACTTTTGCGAATAGCCGTATTACCTTGCTAGCGTGCAGCCTTGATTTTTCTTGCGAGGCAACGAAAGCAAACGAATTGTTGGTGCGCTCTCATCGTGGCGCGGCGCACTGCCAAGAACCTAAGGTCACAGTTCGGATCTTTCCGTAACGGAGTGATCGTCTAATGCTTTGACTGCTCAAATCATACGCGGGCCAGTAGGAAACTTGGCAGCTGTCCTGCGCCCACGACCTGTTGACCAGCTTGCGACTTCCGACACGGAAATGACTTGGGGCTCCACACCAACTTGCAAGCTCTCCAGACCCGAACCCCTAACCTAAAACAGCGCCGCTAACCTTGCGCGCTTTTAGCAACTTCTGACAAAGACTACAGCTCTATCTGAACACCCCTAACACCCAAAACCTTGGCTAAGGCGTCCCGAACTTCTGCATGAACGCAGGGGGACAATAAATCTGTAAATGCAGTGTGAAACAGCCTCCTTGGGCCTCAAGCCTGGCATAACCAGGCCACAAGTGAGGTGAGAGATTTCCGGGCATATACAACAGGAATACTTACGACAAAGCTGCATCGAAGTACCACCTGGAAGTTGAGGTGGTTCCCCCACTTAGCTACTGTTTTGTTGTGACCTAAGTGCACAAGAACTACACAGAGGAGTTTCTGAAAAGGTGGTGGAAGCCGAGCGCTAAACCTCTCCGCAGTTCTTAAGTCCAGGCTCTGGTGGCCTTCAAGCCTGTCAGCCTTCGGAGTCCTCGGACCCGTCGATGCTGCTTGCAGCATCGGAACCTCGGACACCGAGCGGCTTGCAAGGGGCTCTATGGGGCAGCTGTAGTCATGAGGGTTCGTAGCAGTCAAGGGTCTCAATGTTGGATTCGTGCGAAACGTACAAGGCTCAAACAGCTCATATTGAATTGGGGCCTCTATACGGGCTGGAGCCGGAGTCAGGGTAATGTTGTTGTGAAGAGGACGTCGCCCGTCTCGCATGGACATCTAGGCGTTGGGGCCGAAACACCGAGAATTTTTCCAGGAATGCTCCACAGCTCAGCCCTCGAGCTCCATTTTGTGAACTCAACCAGACAGGGATTTCCATGACGCAGGGTAGTGGGCACTGGAGCCCTCCACGCCAGATGTTGGCATGCATCTTGCATGGGCGGGGAGCTGCCCATTGAGCTGCCCATTGAGCTCCCAGACCTTGTTCCCTCGTGGGAGCCCGAGCCTGCCAAGTCGATACACCAGCTTCCAACGGGAGATAAGAAGAGACTGTAACAATAGTGTAACAATCAACAGCTTCATAACACCTGTGCACACCTATGCAAAAACATCCTTCTGCACCAGGCTGCCTGATGGTCCCTGCCGGCTGTGCTGCCGCCGCACAGCCTTCGCTGAAGGAGGGTGACGGTTTGAAAGGACGTTTGAAAAGCGAATGCTCTTCTTGACTTTGCTTGGGCTCCTTGAGATTCATTGAAGGGCCTTCCTTTTGAGTCTGAGTTGCGTTTGGGGTGAAATATGGGGTGGGGAACAACGTTCTAGCGCCGTGGAACGACTTAGGCTAGCAGCACATGGAAGATCTGCGCAAGGGGCATTCGGCTCACAACGGCGTGGGGATCAAGAGTACCGAGGTACTTCGGGAGCCTTTAGTGCTCGTGATACTGTCTGGTTCTGTACGCTGGTGCGGTAATTCAAGCGCCTGAACTCCAAAGCTCCAAAGGTCCAAGCCCTACTCGCCTTCTCCAGAAGGTACTCGATGTGAGCTAAGCGAGCTTCGGGTGTGTCCTTCTGAGAGTCTTCTTCAGGTTTCTTCGGTTGGGTTGATCTGTTACCCCTGAGAATAGCTCTTGTGTAGCCGCCTTGAAGAATACATTAATCAGGCCTCATGTTTCATGCTCGCGATGTGCACATGTCACAGGTAAAAGCAAGTATCTTCATTATTGGCACGGCTTCCTCCCAACATTTCATTAGCTCGGCACTCTGAAGTTCGTGTAGATGTGCCGCTCTACGGTACTGATCCTTCCCTTGTACTATAAGATGCATTTGCTGTCCTGCTGCAAGTTCTGAGCTACACAGCGACCCTGCCTCCGAGACACCCCTACAATCTACAACGCCCTCTGTGGATCTACGCCGAAAGCAGCCGTTGCGCCATTCTGCGTCTACCACGCCTAAGGGCACACCCTAACTTGCCAAGAAATAGAGGCGCTCATCATGCCTCGAACAGCTGCAGCTCAGCATGTGGAGACAAGTCCGGAAAGCCGCATTAGTCTTCACTCTAATTACGCCTCGAACCCGCATCCAAAACCACCGTCATGCCGAATCCTCCACGGGGCCTCTGCTCTTTACCCGGTCCTGCCGAGGGCCGGATTCACAGAAGGACTTAGACGAACAAAGTGAATGTGAAGAAGGTCTCCAAATGGCTTAGAAGTTCTGTTGGGGTCAGGCATCGGGTGTTCTCACGTGTTCTGGATGGATCCGCAGTTTCTTGGACATCGCATCCCGCGAAGTTAAGGTACTTGGATCCCCCAAGGATTCCCAAACATCCGCAAGAATCCCCAAGCCCCGAAACAGGAACCCACCCCCCCCCCCCCCACACCGGCGGAGGCCCTCCAAACACAACAAACACCTGACAGGGAAGCTTAGCCGGTCCTCCGGCCAAGGAAGGGATGTGAGGGTAGAGCCTCCGTACCGGCGGATCTGCTCCTGCAGCTATTTGGCTCATTGTTTGGCCAGCCTCACCTCTGCAGAAAACATTCCTTTGTCCCTTCCTACTTTGCAGTGATTCCTTACCTCGCACACGAAACCAAAAGTGAATCAAGTCTCCAGCACTATAGAGCAAACCTTCAACACCTTCAGACCCTTAGCATGCTTCGTGTGCTCATGCCCTCCCTTAAATCCCAAGGCGAGCTTCCTCGCTCTGCCTGTGCAAGCCTGCGGGCTCGGTGCTCTGAATGCAGCCTCAGCCGGGCACACCCGGGCCAACCCAGCAGTGTAGGGTGATTTCTTGGTGTAGGGATGGTGTAGAGAAGTCTTGCGCATTTCGGGCCTGCAGGGGTGCGGGGCTTGGTGAAGGGCCATCCTTGCATTCATCTGTGGGGCAACTTGGAGCGACAAGCCTGGCTGGCCAGTCTTCAAAGATCTCCTTCTTCGAGTCTTCATTTTAGTCTTTTGAGGTTCGGGCCTTGGTCGTTGACCACGGACGCTGAGGGCTTTGTGGCCACGTGCTCAAAATACGCAACTCCAAACGGGCAGGTCGTGAAGCAGCAGCAGACAAGCACGTGTCAAACGCCAATTCATGAGTCATAAAGCAGCATTGGACCCCCGAATATGCAGGGTTCATCCACAGGCCTCGTGGCATACGCCAACGCCCGGGACACCGCAACGCCCAGGACACCGCAACGCACCAGCAGGCCGAAAGCAAAAACAGCAAGATGGTAGAGCATGGTCTGGGAAAAACAAGTACCCTAAAGTACAGTGTGGACATGTAGATCTCAGGGGTGTAAAACGAAGAACATACTCCTACAGGATAGAGAAGTAGGACCTAAGTAGGACTTTCCCAAGCCACCTGGCAGGCCAAGGTCGCCCTCATCAAACTCCCGCTTCTCATCCAGTTTGAGGTCCTCGGGGTGTTCTATGTTTCTATGTCTCTTTTTTTTGCAGAGCCTTGCAACTGACATCCCGGGTTGATCCAGACTTAGCAGCTTTTAGCATCTATGGCTTAAGTTCCTGGGGTTGGAGGAGATGTTGATGTTTGGTGTACCCACACCCTACCGGCCCTGTCAGACTATCAGTGTCCACAGCGAGGAACCGACGAGCTGGGTGCCACCGGGCTTCAGCAAGGAACTTCTTCCATTTGCTCTTCGGACAGGATGCCATGGCATCTACAACTAGGGATGCTCGGTTGAGACGGGCGAAGCCAAGGACGTCCTTGTTTATGTACTCGTAGGTCTGGTTCAGCTGCGCGATCAGTAGGTTAAGCAAAAGGACCACGGAAACCAAAAGGAAGAGATAGATCATTGTCAGGAGCATTGGGTCGGGCTGGATTTCACGGAAGTCTCCCTGGTAGAGGCTCACCGTGATGGAGAACAAGGAGATGATGGCGTTCCACATGTCATTGAAATCCCCTCCGTCGTCTCCACATTGCCTCAAATTTCGCATTGCTCGCATTGCGATTCGTAGTTGTCGGGGCTTTTTGCAGCATTGCTCTATACGATCTCGATATTGAGAGATGAAGAGGGCGATGGCCGAAGGATCCCGAAGGGCCCCTCTCATGTGAAAGCATGCTCGACTCAGCCAAGCCACCTATCACAAAGGATGCTGATGCTGCTCCCGAAGAGCAGAAGCAGAAACGTCAAGGCGATGAGGAACCTTTGTCGCGCAACTGCCCCCTCGCGTGTCCAAACCCGAGTCCCGAAAGTTTTTGGAATGTTGAGTTTCCTCCCCAGACTGAAAAGGGCTTATATGTGTGCAGAATTGTGCAGAATTTGTGTTGAAGGAGGGCGAAAACAGCACGAACTCCCCACGCAACATGCTGTATGACAAGAGGCTGCTTCACCTCCCCCAGCACGTGACCAACCACGAGCAAGAATGCAGAGAGCTGCGTGGAGAAGATCGTCATATCAATCCTAAGGCTTGCAGCCGTACATAAGCGACATTGACAGCTTTCCCGTCGAAACCTTCGAGACGCTTGTTGGAATGGCTGGGTCATGAACTTCTACAGCAGTCAAGGGGCAGCAGCAGCCAGTGCACGACCATGGCGATCCTCAAGGCTAGGAGGGTGGCCAAGCAACCACGTCGTGCCCTCCCTTTTCCCATCTCCACCTCTAAACACAAGAAG